TCAAAAAATGGGTAGATGTGGCACTTTGGGACATGGTTTAGTGGGCATGGTGGTGTTGGGTTGATGGTTGGACTGATGATCTTAGAGGCCCTTTCCAACCTTAATGATTCTATTCTAGTTTTACTTTCATTAAAAAATAATCCAGCCACCAAGCCAGGAAACATGAAATTAATTATTACTCTACCCTTAATTGGTTTAGTGGTGGACTTGGTAGTGTTAGGTTAATGGTTGGACGTGATGATCTTAAAGGTCTTTTCCAACCTAAATGATTCTATGATTCTAAGTTCCAGGATGGAAAGCATATGTGGTAGGACGCGGGATGTTTCCCAAGTACTGCATCGCCTTTTTGCTAACCTCTTGCTGACAGGACACGCAAGCAGTTAACAATACCTCAACTTCAACACTGAATATGAAGTAAGAAAGCCTTTCAAAATTGTTCTTACCCTGCCTGCCATTCCAGGATTCCAACAGCCTGGAAAACAGCCCCTGTCACGGCACCCTGCCTGCCTGTCCAGCGAGGGTTGTTGTTGCAGTGCTTGTTCTCGGCGCCCTGAAGTACTCCAGCCTCGGCCGCAAGAACAGACTAAAGGTTTTCCAATTTTTATTGACAGACAATTAACCTTAATATACACAAGTTGCTAAAATGCAAGAATCCATCTCCAAATGATTTCTCCCAACACTGAAAGATGGGCAATAAATAATACTTAAATGAAGAACATTTCCTTTAATTGTTTTGATACCCTCCCAGCTTATGCAATAATCTGACAGCCCTTAACAAGAACAGAGTATCTCTGTTAGAGACAGCATTCCATTTTACCAAACAAAAAACAGAAAAAATTTTAGCTTAGTAAAACATTGCACAATGATAAACTCAGGATACCCTTATGCGGTACACACACTTATAATCCCAAAGGAAACATTTCCAGCAGCTACAGAACAGCAGAGAGAGGCTTACGCTGGAGCAATCAGAAGTTGGCAAACATTTTGATTGTGAGTTATGTCAGGTGCAAATTAAGTGATTAAAAAAGGGACTGAAATGATGACAGCATGTTAACTACATAAAATACATATTCTAGAGAAGAACTTCAGCTACACAAAAAGCCTTCTTTTTCCTCAGGAGGGATCAATATTCATGGAATGAAAAAGCAATAAAGATTCAGTCTCCAGAAGACAGAACTACACAGTTTGTAGATCATCCAAACATTATTTAGGTACTTAACTTTTAAACTATAGTCAAACCATACCACTTTTGACTATTTTTTATTAAATGCTTCCAGTAAACGCAGCAGGTGTAAGAACAGATTGATGATGTCCAAGTAGAGATTGATTGCAGCCAGTATGTACTCTTCAGGGGATAATTTGTGCATCAGCAAATGAGTGTCATAAATAATAAATCCACAGAACAGAAGAGCTCCAGCAGCAGCAAACACCAACTCTATTGTCTCACTGTAGAAAAACAGCTGGAGGCAAAGGAAACATGAAAAAAAAAATTGTAAACTTAATTTTCTTTTTAATATTAAACTCCCTGCATAATGATATGCCACACTTAAAACAATGATACACACTGTCTTTTTACTGTTATGTACACACAAATACAGTATTACAATGACATTTCAATGTTCTTTCATATAGTCCCCAGTCACACAATCTCTTTAACGGAGTAAAAGTGCCTCCACTTAAGGAAGCTCTGGTCTCCAAAATGTTAACAACAGCACAAAAATTAGAAAAAAAAAAAAAAATTAAAACCCAAATCTCCTTCCCAGTGTCTCAATCAAGTAGTGGATCAAGACTGATAAATTTTGTCAATCAACACAAATACCACTTTTACATTAGCAAGAACAGCATCCAACAAAAATTTGAATTGGAAATGAATGGTTGAAAGATCACCAGCATGACCTATAATAGTAAAGGATGTGGTTAGCAATTTTCTTTCACTAAGCTATATTGGACTGTCCAAAACCTTTTTGTTATACCAGAAGTTAGTTAGATTTATATTAAAGAATATTTTTTAACCTTGAACACAAGGTATCTTACCCTCAGGAAACCCGAGAAGATTAAAATCCACAAACAAGCAAAGAGGCTGGGAAAAAAAAAAAAAGAAAACCTGTGAGCAATAATTTCTTTTCTTTTAAATTTTACTTCAAATCTCTTCCCTTCCTATAAAATCTCCTCACAATATATTTGGTAAGTACGTATCCATAATTCTTATATGCCAACTGTTCATTGGTATCAGCAGTGAAACTTGGTTTTATAAAGCTGTCAAAAGTTACACCCTAAATTGACTTTTTTAAAAATACTTGAAGCAGCTCTCTTCTGTCTCCATGAAAAATCCAGGTGAACTAGTCTTCTAGTATAATACTATGGTTTTACAAATCATAATCACAGGAAAGAATTTCTTACCAAGAAAGCAGAGCTGCATAAAATTAATAATTTAAGATAAAATACACCCTCACCATTCCCTTGAAGCAGGTTCTATTGACCTGTATTCATTATTATATCTGCAGAGCTAGCTTTAAAACCAGGAAAAACTAGCTTAACAACAACAACAAAAAAATCATCAATATGACAACATACCCTGCTCCGAATTTGCTGAAGTCTCTCTTTGACTGCAAGGTGTATGCAGTCAGTCCAAGAAATACAGCAGTAGTAAGAATAAAGGCTTGCAAGACGATGGACACGTCATAGAAACTCACTATAAACAGAAAAAGTAGATTATCATTTAAAGAACACTACAGTATGGATTTACTAAGTTATCTTTAGAGGAAACAGAAGTTTAAACTTTCAGAGACAGGAAAAGAAAATCTTAACTGCAAACAAAAAAGTAAATTATGCATGAACTTGTCCTTGCACTTCAAAATCGTGACCATAGGACTCACAGACCCTTGCACTAGCTAAGTTTGACATTTATAGTATGGCTGTAGCTTCTTAAATGGGGATAACAGATCTTCCCTACTCACAATAAAAAAAGAAATAAAAGAAAAAAAGAAGTATTTTACAGCTAGATATGTGAGATCTTAAGGAAAAAACTATCTGAATTTTTCATGATACTGAAACAAGGCGGGGGAAATCACAACACAGTCAGTCCTCTGTAAAGGCTTATAAAAGTTTTGATTGGGGCGTAGGAGGGTAAAGATAAGAGAAATGAGTGGAACCTTTTTTCTTCCCTCCTTAAGCTTTCCTTTCCCCAAACAACTTTTTTTTACAGGAGATCATAGGCTACCATGAAGACGTTTCATCTTATGCTGGAAGCTATAGTGCAAGGTGATGCCATGGTTTCTCCACACACTGCCCCACCTCAACCCTGACAACCAAGTACAGACTTCTCCAAACTCAAAGTAATTCCCTTGGAGGAAACAGAGGGGAAAAATCAAGCTTATTTCACTTGCAGATCAGCTCTGCTGAGAGCTGTCTTATAGGAAAGAGCATTGCTAGCTGTACTGAAAGAACGGACGGCACAACTCATTTCTCACTTCAGGTTTATAGAGTTTCAGTTCTGGATCAGAATCCAGTTTTCTCCCTTGATTCCCTGGTTTTTGCTAAACTCACATCGCTGTCACTAAAATGTTCAAATGGGATTTATTATCACTTTAGTCACATCTAGGAATCTCAGATGGCAATTAGTACAACAGACTGGATTCCTTTTCCAATTTCTGTAAGGAATCAGACAATAGGATGGCTACCATTTACCTGTAATGGCAACTGTCAGTGCTTCCAGTATGGTCTACAAAAGGTAAAAACAAAAAATTACAAGAACAAAAAAACCCACAAAACACTTTACACAGAGACTTCACATACAATAAACCCCATTCTGCTACATAATCCCAGCATGCATTACATTAGCTCTCTTGTTAAATCTTTGTATATGAAAACATGTTTAATTTTCAACAAGAAAATGGCACTCATCCTGCCTTACTGTGCTGGAAGTTGTGGTGTTACATAAAAATAATATAAACTGAAGACGAAAGAGAGACAGCCCCTACAGAAAAAAGCCATTTTCTACTCAAAGCACACAGCATTCTTACCACACTTCTTACAAACTATTCAAGGGGCTATAAAATTTCTCAGAGCTGCTATTAGATATGAACTGTTTTCAGCTTTTTGCATGCTTTTCAACATTTGAAATACTTTCATCCAACACTCTTAGTATCTCATGAGCTAAGCGTCTGCATCAATTTCCTTTTCTCACTTGTCCTTCTTTTGAAACAGCTAACAAACATATTATTGATGTCTGTGCTGAAGGCTAGTATGGGCCCTGAGTTTTTTCTAAAAGATAATTTCAAATTAAGTTTCATTACAATAAAAGATGAGAAAAGTACCTATGGCATGAACCAAGAGGTCAGAAATAACAGAACATTTAACCCATATTTTGTTTAAACCAATTTATCACACACAGATTGGAATCATTCTATTCCTACACAATGTAATACTGAAACTGTCATACCACAAACTCCCACACCACATTTGGTCAAACTATTACATCACTACTTGTTGCAGCTGAACTCATTTAAAGTTTTTAAAAGTTTTACTCTCCTGCCAGAGTTCCAAAGTCAGGAAGCATATAACTGCGTTACAATTTGAACAGTCTATTTACATACACAGCAAAGCTGTCTTCCCTTTGTATCACAAATACAATTTAGGCAACTCCTAAAGCATCAAATTTCCAATGATGCCACTGTGACTTCTTTTCAGAAGATTGATTTGCTACATAATCCAAAATATCCCAGAGCAACAGTTAGCCCGTATCTACAAATGTGCAACATCAGGCAGGAGACTGAAATTTGAGGACAGCTGACTGACCTGCCTGTGTTGGAAACATGCTCAGAATTTAGCATCAAAAAGACGACAATTAATGAAATAAACACATATGACTGGTTGCATTTGGATCTCCGCTAGAGGTTGTCCATCAAACAAATAAGGTAACAGAAATGCCGCCTCCTTTGCTTTTTCATAGCAAAATCACTGACATCAACAGAACAATGAGAGCAGATAGATATATTTACAGACACATACACACACAAAAGCTTGCTCAACCCGATTCCAAGTTCTAACACTTGCTAAAAAGACACTGGAAGAAACCTGAAGTAGAGGCTATCTAGGAACAACCTGTGGATAGAACCTCCAAAAAATAACTCAGAACTTCGTAAGTGTAGAGCCACCACTAGTTTGCTTCAAGGATTTCATCACAATGAAAGATATTCTAAAGACTATTAAAACTGAATTTTTGTAAATACTTACAAATCCAAAAAGCAGGTATAAATTAACAGGATGCTGGTGTCTGTAGAGGGTCAGTGCCACAATGATAGCCAAAGATCCAAACCCAGATATCAAAAGCAAGGCAGGCCTGTAAAGTTTCATACAAAAAAAGTCATGAAAATTAAAATAAAATATCTGGAAGAATAGAAAACAGTTTATATAAAACCAAGTTTTTAAGTGATCACCTAGATACAGATACTGCTCTGTATATCCAAAGTAAATGTAAAGCAAGTTTTACGATAAAACTGCTCTAAAACATACCACCACAGATAATCAGTTAAAAATAGTACAGTCACAAGTAAAGACAATTTTTTCATACTGAAGCTGAAGATTGCCCAGGAATCCATCACTTGGAGATGAACCCATATGAAGAGGAAAATCCATGTGTACTAAACTAACAGTATTAAAGTATATGCAATATTTTGCCTATTAAGAACTCAACATACAGAGAACTGTTTTTTGTAAGCACCTGAATGCAACAAACATGGGCACTAACTGCACCAAAGAAAATCACTACTGACCAGTACGTATTGCTATAATTAAATCATTCAAGCAGCCCTCCCAAGCAAAAACTGGACCAAAATCAAACACAAAATTACAACAGTTCTAAGTGAGCAGGGCAATTTTACATGATCAGATTTAAGTAGAAAACTGTAGTTTTACAACCTCTGTTGTATACACTACAGCTTATACAGAAACTTTCATACAGTGTTTGATGCTTCTTTTTTATCTGGGCTTTGAAGTGAAAGTAAAAGTAAAGTCTGTGAGTGCACTTGGGGGAAACCAGAAACTGGACTCAGTGCTCTCCTCCTTTCCCCAGCTGTTCTTTTCCCCTGCCCATTCACCACAGTTTGGTTTTTCAGACTTGTTTTTTTTCCTCATGAAAATCTGAGAGGCAAAAAGAAGCAAGCCCACCAGAATTTCAGCAGATTAGTTTTCAGGGGAAAAAACAAAGTAAGATGGGGGAGAGGAGGAGGAGGGGGGGGAAGAGATGGACTGGAGTAAGACATGATTCAGCTTTTTGGAACAGGTACCTATAAACAACAGCATTCCAAACAGATTCTAAAAGCAGATACTCAGACCACAAAACAAGAAATATTAATAATTGAGATGTTCTGCAACTGATGGATAGGTTTTCATAGCGTCAATATTAAAATAAGCACTATTAATAAAGTGTTGATTAAAATAAAGTTTAATGATAGTAATAAAAATAAATTTTAATAATAAACCAAGAAGAAAAATGTCAGAAAAGTTCTTTCCTAATCAGGTTACAAAATTTCTATTTCAGAATCAAAACACAGGGTATAAAAATGATTAGGAATACTGAATTGTTCCAGAGCAACAACTACATAAACTATACTTAACACATGATAAACAGCCCCATTTCATTTTAGTATTTACCTTTCGTGAACAAATGCCTGAACTCCAGTAGAGTACAGAAAAATGGCAGATGTGACTGTGGTCAAAAGAACTTGAATGGAAAGAATGCTGTAGACTTTCCGTAGAAAAGCTAGAATAAGAAAAATGAAATCACTTTTCAGTCACAACCAGTAAATCAGATACAATTTTTCTGTTTGATGAGGAACCATTAGAAACTCTTTATTCAGTGAAAAAGCACAGAGCAAAGCGGTAAGAAGCCATTTTTCCTTAAAAAACTGACACAGTATTCCAGCCAAATCACATTTATTCCTGGACATCATTATTTAAACAATAACAATGATGACAAAAAAAATACAAAAAAACATTTGCAAGGAATTTGCTTCAGACTATTTTAAAAACTACATACACCTAATCTCACTAAGAAATTACTAACAGAATACCTTCTCCATCACGTTACTAGTATCTAATGAACCTAAATGAAGAAAGGTTAACTTGGAAGTTCTGTGGGAGACAGAAAGAGCCACAAAAGTTTAAAAAGGAAAAACTTTTACAGTACTATCTATTTGACCTTCCACCATGTTAGATATTGTTTATCATCATTTGCAACTTACATTGTACTGAATGGATATCTACAGATACAAACTGCTAGGGAAAAAAAAAACAAACCCAGAATTAAGCTAACAGTCTTCATAATTCTAGAATTATGAAGAGTGGAGAGTGGTTCAGGACATACAGATATTCTCTGTTCTGAATGGAAGGAGACCAAGTCCATTAGGCAAAATGCTCTGAAAGGAAGAATAAGCTTACAGTGAAAATCAATTCAGTTTTTAATAGCACAGCCTAAATAAGTTTAAGAGCATGTACTGAGAAGCTGAACTACCTGCCTGCAGCAAGTAAAGTTAAATATACTTGTAAGCCATGAGGGACTGGGGCCTGTTCTGTTGCAATGAACTGAACAAAGCTAGATGTAGCCTGCTAGGCAGCATAGCCTTCTCCCCACATTATTAAATGCATCAGCAATTTTGCTAATGGCAATATCGCTTTCATATTTCCTATGGCATCCTTTATTTTCCAAAAGGATAAAACTGTATTTTTATAGGAAGAGATCTGCTCTTTATCAGAAATATCTAATAAAAAATTCACAGCACACAGCTGTTTTTATTCCAAGATGTATCTGATAACAGTATAACTATTTCAGCAAGGATTAATAATTAGAAACCTTCTACAAGAGTATTCAATGCATTTGAGACCTGCACATTAACAGCAAAGCAGTATTTCATGGTGACCAATACAACCTTATAACACAAACGCTACAGAAGAGACAATATTTTAACACCTCACAGAAAAAAATTCAAATCCCTCAGTCTCCTGGTTAAAATACTGTAATTTTGGGCACCAATTTTAGCTTTTATACATGTTATGTATATTGTTCGGGCTTCAAAATGCATCACTCTGGGGAAAATCAAGTCTGAATCTATATGGGTTTCATCCCTCTGATAAAAAAGACCCGCCTCAGGTCTGAGAAATGAAAAATGAGAAAATGCAGTCTTTTGCCGGCCGCCCATCTTTCTCTCACCCTCGACGCTAAACCCGGACTAAGCAACGCCCTGGCTCCCCAACTCACGGCCTTTACCCAGAAGGTTAAAACATTGCGCAGAACCTGAATTCAGCTGAACGCCACAGGCGATGGGGTTAACAGAGAGGAACCTGTTGGGAGCACTGGGGCGCGACACCCCTCTGACCGCCCGGCAAGGGGAGGCAGCAGGGGCTGCTCCCCAAGGGCTGGGGGGGCCTAAAAGGGGGGAGGAATTCGTCGGGGAGGCGGCCTTGCTCCTCCCCTGCCCCAGTCCCTACCCATGCGGATGTGGACGCTGGCCGAGGCCACGTTGGTGCCATAGTTGAAATCATCTTCGATGGAGCTCCGCGGAT